AATTTGTTCCCATTGCAAACAACAAAAAAAAAAAAAGGTGGAAAATGTTTTCCCACCAAATAGGTGGGAAAACAAAATCAAGTTTTTGTGCATCAAATGATTGTACCTAGAAAAAGGTGGAAAATATTTTGTCAGGAAAATTTGTGCTATTAAACACCCTTAATTGATTAAAGTTAGAAAATATTTTGCTTTTCCACCCATTTTCTAGGTTATCAAACGGACCCTAAGCATTTTGTGAGGCTATTATTTTCAGGCAGCAAGGCCCGAACGGAAACTAGGTATTTGTGTGTGATATCTCCAAATTCCAAAGACATGTTTGATCCACGTTATTTAAAAAATGTATTTTTTCAATACTTATTTTCAATTACGCAATCTTCAATAAGATAACATTACATTCAAATTTAAATTTTTCCTTTTTTAATCACATATTTTCCATCACATCACTTTATAAAATGTATTTTTTCCCTAAAAGTGTGTATCAAATAGGGGCTAAAGACACGTGTTAAACATGGATTTACGTTAAACGTTGAATTTTCGGAAGAACTTATGTTATGTCTTGTCTAATCAATCAAGAATTAGATGGTGAAATTGAAGAAAAGTGAAGAACTATGAAAAAAGAAATCATGATGTCTCGTTAGATCAGAGAATTAAATTGTCAATGAACTGGGGGTTCTCACAGAGCCCCCCCGTAGAACACTCACAAAGGGGGGTATGTAAATTTTTTTTACCTTTTTATTGAGGTAGATCCCCACGTGGGACCCACCCCTTGTGAGTGTTATGTGGGGTTCTGTGAGACCCCATGTACACTCAGCTTTCCCCATTGATTACTTTCTTGAGGATTGTGTTTAAATGAGGTTGGAATCACATTTCGTTAAGGTATCAAGCTCAATAAGTTAGTTCAATCCACTGGCCCCATAATATAATAGTTCAACTGGAGAATGTATGTCCCATGGAATATGTTGTTTTAACAACTCTAAATCCAAGTCTATTTTAACACATTTAGCCCCTGTTTGTCTACTATTAATTCAAAAAATTATTTGCTACTGTAAGATTCTCCACCACACATTCACCCAATAAAATATTCTACACACAAACCAATAAAGTTACTTTAATTTTCAACCACACATTCTCCAAAAAATATTATTCATTACACTAATTTTCTCCCAATAATGGGAGACAAACAAGCTCTTAATGTTTTGATTTGCCTGAATCCACAAAGAATGTTGTAAAAAACAATCCAAAAAATAGCTACGAGCTAAATAAAATCAAACTAAGTATTTTATGCTATAAAAAGAAAGTAAGTTAGAGTTAAATGTGAATGACGCATGTACCCCTACAACCCTAGATATTATTACCTTATGTATTCATATTCATTCTCTATAAATATAGGGTTTTGATTATCATTATAATACACACAAATTTATTGACTTCTCTAATTCTCTTCTCTTTTCTCTCTTTTTATAATACGTTATCAGCATGAAAGCTTAATTCTTCAAAATTTAGAGAATGTAGTAATTTTTTTTAAAAACATAATCATATATTATATGCATCAAAATTAATTTGATAACATGTGAATTTTTAAGCATAATTACGTGTACCAAAATTAATTTGGTAACAATTGAATTTTATATATATTCATACGAGAGTACATGTGTAGACGGTTTCTTGCACCCCCGCCGCAGTGAATTTGAGCCTATCAATTTGTGTGCATAATACTTGTACTTTCTAATTCTTTTTCCTATTTGTCACCACAATCACTACTGTACAACTTTTAATTTGTGTTAATTAATGATTTCTTTCTACCCATTTTGTTGAAGCAAGTTACATAACCAGTGAATT